TTTTGCACTAGGCTCAGGAGGCCTTTAGCAGTGCAATAAAGCTTTATCTCTCTTCTTACTCATCATTTAAAATTTTTAGAACACATTTTATAATTACTGCGATGTGTGCGCAAAACAACATCCATGTTTTGGAAATTTTATTTATGGTTACAAGAACTAGAAAAATCAACTAATAGCTTCTTTGCACAAGTTGATGCTTTGGGAACATAATAATATGAAAAAATAATTTCATTTAGCAATAATTATCTCTTTAAGTGTGAAGAGCATTAATTAGTATAATTATGCTTGTAACTCAAAAAGTACAAGAGGTATTTGAAAACGGTTTTCATATTTGGAATCCTCACAATCATCCACATACACACACCAAATTTCATCACAAACAGTACATTAATAAAAAAATTAGTTTTACTTGCCACGTCCCCCCTTAAGTAGGCTGTATTGTAACCTTCGATAGTCATAACATCTAAGTGGTCGCGATACGTTTCTGTAAGCATTATTACGGAAAAATTAAATTTAAACTGATCAAGTAGAGCAAAGAGGTCGTCGTCTTTACAACGTGTGGACTGCATATTATTATGAAGTACAGCTGGGGGTGACCCGCCCAGATTTTCAAAAAGTGTGTTTACTTGACAGGGACTAGAAGACTATATTAGTGTTCATTTGCAGATGATAGAGATAAATACATATAAACAGGCAATAAGGTTACTGAGTATAACAATGTATCAGCTCTTGAATAGAATGCATAAGTAAAAGTAAATAGAATATGTAGTAATGATGGTTTATCATCATTTGCAGTACCACACTTTGGTTCCACAACTTTTGATAACCAAACATAGATAACAAACAAGAGATGCATAGTATTTGGAGAAATAGCATTATTCGAGTTTGCAACATTATTACTGGTATAAAACAAATATTCAGTTGTGTAGAACCAATTAAAAATAGCAGTGATTACACAAGATGCCGTGTAGCATGCAAAAACTGTATGAAAAGGCATTTGCATTACATTTTCCTGTTCAGCCAAAAAATAAAAGGATCGAAAGAAATATAGCATACAGAATCACAACTAAGAAGACCATTATAATGATTTGTTACACTACACGCACCAAGTCCTGCCTCGCTTTAGCTAGCAGAATTTTGTTTTCACGACAGAGGTGCTCATTAACGTATATTAAGCCATCTATGTCGAACCCTAAATCTCTTGCATTCAGTTTTTCTTTGCTGCCGAAAGCATTCTGCCTCTGGCAGCTCTCGAACGAAATCGCACGATCACATGTAGCTTACTCTTTATCTTTAGATGGCACATGATGTGCAACGTCTGTCTTTGTCAGTTATGTCGGCCTTTAGACATCCTGCAAGTTTTTCAACTTCTCTCAGAAGATTCTCCTCTGGCACAACTGGAAGCCCCTGAATTTTCACATTCATATTTCTTGAGTATTGTTTAAGCTCAGTTATCTCACTCCTAGCCTGCTTCATCTTTCTTTAGAAGTTCGTTCTCATCGCGGCACTGCTTGATTTCGGCCCTAGTCATAGCGAGCTCATCCCTGACAGCCTAAACATCAAGCTTTAATTTTTCAAAACCATCACTCAAGAATTGTACAGATTTTTGAAGACCAGCGATTTCCGACTGAACTTGTTTATTCGAGGTAGTGATGCAAGCAACGTCAGATTTAATGCCTGACGCAAATGAATCCAACTTAGTGACCAACTCAGTCAATACTTTAGCAACCTCTTCTATGCTTCCTGGTTGCTTTTCAGCCATGGCCTTTGCAACGTCGTGTAAGCTACATGGATTTATTTCACTGGTCATCTCAAGCTTAGCAATATAGGACAACAGTACAACAGGAGACAGAAAACACAGTCACAAAATAAAACTTGGTGCAAGTGACATTTCACATCTCTACATTAGCTTCGAGAAAAAATGTAACGCTCAAAACACTCGGGGCAGCAACAGCGACGGAATGGCATGGTACGCGAAGGCACGCAATAATAAAAAAATACACCAACCTGCAAGTTATAGAAGAGTAACTTAGTATGCGTCCACCTACCATCGCCGTCGCTACCACAGTGCAAAAAGATGCGCTCCTGGGAAAAAACACCGCCCCCAAGATGAGAGCAATAATCCGAATTGCGGCAGTCGTAACCAGATGGCAGTTGGTGTGACGAAGTCTGACCCTGGTGCAAAGCAGCAAAAATGGATAGCGATGGAATAGCTAGTATTTCAGCAACCTGGTGGACCACTGCCCCGGGTTCCTTACGGTCAGGTTTGGGCAGCCGCAGGCAGCTGCAAGTTATAGAGTAGCTTAGTATGCGTCCACTCACCGTCGCCGTCGCTGCCACAGTGCAAAAAGATGCGCTCCCGAGAAAAAACACCGCCCCCAAGATGAGTGTGATAATCCAAGTTGCGGCAGTCTTGACCCGATGGCACTACCTGTGACGAAGTCTGGCTGGTCATATTTGGACAGCCGCAGGCAGCTGCAAGTTATAGAATAGTAGCTTAGTATGCGTCCACCCATCATCGTCGTCGCTGCCACAGTCATAATGTTGGACGCATCATGTTGCAGCATCATGTTGGCCGTTCACGAAAGAACGGCAGAAAAGCAAGCCCAATGGTGCTGCTACTGTGTTGTGGGAGCAAGTGCTGACGTTTGATAACGCCGTCATAACCAAAGACTGTTTTTTGTGCGTGCGCAGCGAGGACGCTGGCTGCACGTGTACTGAAGATGATGCCACCAACAGCGGATTTTGCGAGATGACTTCCCCAGATAGCGGAGGCTCTGTGGATTATGACCGCACCGATGCTATCAGCAACGGTGAAGTGCGTGTAGACACGGACCTCCCTGAGAGCGGGCGTTATGTCGACTCCGGTCGTGTGCGGGTAGACGCTGATGTGATCGGTGCTAGTGATTCGCGATGTGCGTGCTCGTGAGACAACCACGACGCTTGAGGGTGTTTCAACTGTGTCGACAACAGCGCGAAAAATAAAGCACTTTTCGGAGTCAAGTGGTGCGGCAGCGAGGCAAGATGCCAGCAAGGCAAGACTCAGAATTCACACGAAAGCTTCCAATCCGTGATTTGGAGTTCAGTATCAAAGGAGCAGCATGCTTCTTTTTTTGCTGTGCAAGCTGCTGTTGCAAAGGTGTACTGTGCTTAAACAAGGGCAATGTCAATGCATTTGCTGCGATTCTAGAGCAGCTGGACATCACGATATTCAACAGCACATCCCTGAGGGCTAGGGAGAAGGACTGTAGTCAGAGTGCAATCTCAAATAAATAGAAGTGTCCCAGAGTCTGAGAAAGCTGGTCAAGAGGAAGCATAAGGATGGAATGCATTCAGATTATGCCCTTGGTGCATTTTCATAAGATTTTATCAGTATTTCTTCATTAAGTGTTTCAAAACGTTTTCCTCATTTTCTCAAAACAGAAATTTTGGCACATTTGCCAAGTTGGAGGAAAAATAACTTCTGTTTCATTCGAGCTGCACAATCAAAGCTGCACATTTTCGAAGACTATGCCGCTGTTTCTTGCATGGGCTGCCACGTGTGTTGACTCTAGATAAACAGCCAGCCGGCGTGGGAAACATTTCATCATGCAGTTTACCTCACAGCTAGATATTCCTCATTGCACACTATGGCTGATGTCACCACGATGACATGAAGTTTAAGGGGTCTTGAAACACTTTATCAAGTAACCATGGAATGGATTCACTTGAAGAGCTTATTGCCTCATGAATTCAACCGCGCAAAAATCTTAAGAATCTGAAGGTTTGTCGCACACAATCGCATTCCCTAGCCCGACGAAAAGGCTGGCGGCTAAGCAGGGTGGGAATAGCATAAGCAAAGAAAATGTCACATGTGTCTCGTGACCTTGAGCACTTCTCTCCCTCTCTTTTAGATACACGGCTTCTTCAGTGTGATTGCGTTCGAACGAGTGGAAAAGTGACCGCCACCCGTGGTGATTCTTGTAACGACCGAATGCTCCATGTTCAAATCAGCCAGTGGCTGATAGATGGTCTTCTACGAATGCTTTTTGAGCTTCTTTCGAGAGAAGAGAAAGCCATTCGTAACGGTCTTGTTGAGGTATTGTGAATTGCGGGCTGCGTGCTGGGCTATATTTGGCTTGCGTGTTCTTGGGAGCCTCTACTACCGATCGGCAGCGTTTTCTGACCATTCTCAAAAAGTGTCCCAGTTCCCCTTTAAGCTTTAAAACATGCCCCAAACACTGCGCTGAGCCACCAGTCACCTTGCACGTGTGCCAGTGATGTCACATACCTTGGTAGAGGTCTATTGTATGTATCAAGTTGCAAATGAAAATTGAATGCGCTAGAGAGAAATGTTCCAGTGTCAGAGACTAAATTGGAATGATGGTTTCACATAGCTGCACCTTCATTGTTCTGTATGTAGAGGCAGTTGGCTTGCGCTGGAAGAGATCTGAGGGACAAGGGACGGAGTGTTTCACTGCTATGCATTCGCATAAAGGTATTGATTCTAGGGTAGCGGATTCCATGCTGCATTATAAAGGGAAAGCCTTAATAATGTCCAGGTGCTTATCATTAGTGATGAGTGTGCAGACTAAAACCTTCAGAACATGGCAACACTGCCATAGAAACACAGAATACAATGTCGTTGTATGCCCGACACAAAGAAAATTTGCTGACACGACCAGGAAACAAAATGCAGTAGTTTTTAATTGCAGGGGGAAAAGGAAACTTGGCGTGTTAGGGCGGCTACAACGGGCCCTTTGTTCACGGTGAAAATAGGAGCTTGGAGCTGGCTACAGTAAAATCTTGGTAAAGCGAACTGGTTCTAAATTGGTAGCTTGTTGTATTTTACTGGTGCATGTCTGTGCTTTATGCCTATATTTTGGGTAGGTTGTCATGTATTCTGTTTAGGGCTAGCGTGAGTGAAAGTCTGAAAGCAAGAGGACCAATATGGGTCCCTGCCGTTAGTTCTGCCGGGGTGTGTGAGCTGTCGCATCAAAAAGGTGGCCATGTCCATGCAGGGCGAGTGGGAGACTCGGGGCAAAAAGAAAAAGCCTGCGAAGGAGGGCAGCCAGCAGCAGCAGCAGCAACAACAGCAGCAGAAAGGGGACCAAGGTGGCCCCGCGAGCAGCAACAAGGAAAACCGTGGGGGGCCTCGCGGGGAGGGCGGCCCCCCACGCAACATGCCCCGGGGGTCTGGGGGAGGAGGCCGAGGAGGAGGTCGTGGAGGCAGCTGTGAGTCTATGTTGCGCTATTGCCTGTTTGCAATACTTTTCCTGCAGCTGAGCAGGAATCCATATGGATCGTATCGTCATGGTCGTAAAGCCAGACGGAGTGCTTGAGCGTAGTGCAAGGCTCATCTATGCCTGCGATGGTACCTTTTGTCTGCAGTGTAACTTGCATGCTATTAACTTTACGATTTTGTCATCTGTAGTAAGCACGTACAGTGGCACCCTAAGTAAAACTTTGAACGGATCATGGAAAACTAAGGATGTAGGCAGTAAAGCTCAGTCTTGCCCTAAAAAGCAGGTGCAGACACCCTGAACCCACATGTGCTTTCATGAGCCTGCTGTTTGATGAACTTACTTTGCTGTGTCTGTCCACCTTTGAATCCTCGGTATGTTGTGGTGCCTGTTGCAGGGAAGAACAAGGAAATCGAGAAGAATGAGAGAAACCTTGAAGACGGGCGCACTGGCGAGAGAACTGGCGAGAGGACTGGTGACATGCGACCACGAGGAGGCAGCAGTGAGTGGCATATTGTTCCCCCGCGATTCTCTGTTTTTGCATGTGATAGAAAGACGTGACTGCTGGTTTTACTATTGCTATTTGGAAAAGCGCTCTTCATACCCAGCACGGCCCCAAATTTACGACGCTAACTAAAAGTGTGGCTTTGCCAACACACAAGTAGTTTTTTTTTCTTTCGTTCTTTCTTTTTTGTTTTTGGTTTGGATAGGAAGGGCGCATCCACGAATTCGCCTGCAGCGGCAAGAATGGTGGCACCCTGCGCGCAATAACGAACGTTCACCCTGGCCTGAGAGTCACCGGGCCGACGAGCGCGCCGCTTCACGCTTTGTCGGGGGCGGAGCAACCATGGAAGATACATGCTCATGCCAAAATGACAAAATCTGGGGCAAAATTTCTAGATTGTCCGTGTTGAAAAATTCGTTTTATCAAAGTTGTCTACCGCTGTTACTTTGTTGCATAGATGTCTCAAATACGTATGCTTCAATAGAGTAACTGCGGGGAATAGAAAAAATACGTTATATAGATACATTCATTATATGAAGGTTTGTTATAAGCAGGTTCATGTGGAGACATGGGTCTTGGCCGAAAATTGTGGGAAAAAAAAGACTTTTTGAAGGTGACATTTTCGGAATCTGCAACTATTTTCGCACTTATTCGAGGAGTTTCTAGCATCTCTCGTCATTATTTCTGGCACAAAATCAATTTATAACACCCCTGTGAGATGAATCTGAGCACAAACAAACGCTAAAGCCGCGCTTCGTGGTCATCTTGGTCTTGTTTGGAACGGGTCGATCATCTTCAATTTCCCGCCACCAGTGGCTCGCCTTGCACCAGTGGGGAAGCACCAGTGCACGATTCTATTGGCTGCTTGGGGCACGTGAAAAAAACCTAGGCACCCGATTGGCCAAGTGGCACTTTCCGGCGTCTGTTTCTTCATCGGGACGCGCACAGACGTGCGCCATTTTGTCATTGTGCTGTAGACTGCATGCCGCAGTAAAGAAGTTCCTCGAAACGCTAATTTGTGAAGCGGGTGTGACGATCGTTTGTTCGCTGTGAATTTTTAAGAGTCCCGCTATAGCTCAGGACAGTGAGGATAACAAACTCGCGGCGTTCAACGGTGGTCGCCGAGTCACTAGTGTATGCCTAACACATACGAGCCTGTCGGTTGTCGACAACAAAGCGGCCGTGTTTTGGAGGCTCAACAGTTACAGAACGGCAAGTAAAAGAGCAGAAGCAAAGCTACAAGAGCAATCTTTGCAACGATGGAACGGAAGCGCAGTCTTAACGCTTTACGCGTCGATGCCACGGGTTCCCCCCATCTGACGTGAACTACGTGACTGGTCGTTGGAGTAGAGTACGCCGCACGTCAACAAACAGAAAATCAATCCGTTTACGGTGAGCGTGCTCGTCGCTTGCGCAATGGAGGCTGCTCGGCAGCAGGTAGAGTGCTTGTAACGACGCGTCCGCAACCACTCGAAATGTGGCAATCTTACGTGAAAACGAAACGCAACCCCTCGCTGCTCTTGCAGCCTTGAAATTGATGAGCGAGTGTGCAAGTTCGGTCTGCGACATCAACTCAATCTGAACAAGCCAAAAAATATAGCTTTATGATCACGGAGGACGCGCATATTCACACACAGAGGCGTCACCGAAATGATGAGCGGCCTAGTCTGCAGACGAGTCCAAGGAGACCGCACCAGCTCGCAAGTGTGCCTCTGCGGAAAACATGCAGTGGGCATTGAAAAAAACATCATTTAGGTGACGCAAAGCAGGAGGACTACATGTCTAGTGCCTACTGAAAAAGCTGAATTTGCAAATCATTGTAAATAAACAGCTTTTCCACGCTGCTGTCTACCCAAAGTGGACTTGTTTTTTTGCATGATTTCTCGGGATTCAAATTTTGCTGCAGTTGTTGAAGCGGACTGAAGAGAGAGCAACAGCGAGATATGCACGTTGGACGTGCCATCGCCGAGAGGGACCGCCCCTGCTTCCAGCGCAGCAGCCAATGGCAGGCGCGCTTTCGCCTTTCGAGACATGAACTAAGCTGCTCTGGCCAATCAGCACTCCGCATTGCATTTTAAAGTAATGCCGATAGCATCTCAACCATGTTGTTGACGCCATTTTGAAAGGCAACAAACGAGAGAGAATTCACGGTCAAAACAAGACCAAGGTGGCGCGACACGGCCGCATGGTCTCGGAATAGTGCACACACCAAGTTTGGTTTGATTTAGGCTTTTGCGCGTTTTGGGCGCTGCGGCGGCCTCGAAAATAGCATATTTTTTTGCACTTTGGGGTCGAATTAGGCCTTGATATTTACAGAATAGATAGTTTATGTGACATACATCTCAATAATTGGTTTTTCAAAAACAGACTTGCCGTATAATGCGGGATATAGGTCGAGGCAGAATATAGATCGACCCCCTTACCTTGACCAGCAAAAAAAGAAAAACGCGGAATAGTTCACAGATTCAGTCCGACGACGACTGCTTATCACTAGCCGCCTCCCATTAGCATGTCGTCCTCAGTGCTGTCGAGAGCGTTGCTAATGCAGCATTTCTTAAATGCGTGCACCACCATCTCTTCAGGCAGAGACCTCCATGCCTCGGAGACCCAACCAGAAACTGTCGCGAGAGGTGGCCTGCGCAGCCGGCCTGTCGGGGTTCGCGGGTTGTCGCCAGGCATCCATTCGGTGTACAGCGTACGCACCTGGTCCTTGAAAGGTTTATTAAGGACGACGTCCAGCGGTTGGAGCGTTGACGTCATTCCTCCCGGAATGACAAGATCAGTCTTTCCGTCGCGAAGGCTCTCCTTCCCCGATGCGGTCAAGTTCCCGCGAAACGCGTCCAACACGAGCATGTTCCGGGGCTGCAGGGGTGCTCCAAGCCGCCGGTTCCACACTGTCCGGATCCACTCGCGCATTAGGGCCTCGTCCATATACCCCTTCTCGATTGACGCGGACGACGACATCCCGCGGGAAGGCCTCCTTCGGCATCGTCTTCCGCTTGATGATGAAGGGGGGGCAACTTTCTGCTGTCGACCGTGCAGGAAGGCATAAGGGTGAAGCGTGAATGCTCGCTTCCAGTCGACAAAAGCTTCACCTCTTTTGCCCCGCGTTCGCAAACAGTCGTGGACGACGGCATGTCGAGCCACACAGATGTTTCTTCGGCGTTGCCAATGTGGCCACGCATGTAGTCATGCTGCCGCCGGAGGCTGTTCACGTAGAGTTAAAACTCTATCAATTTGTCCGTGTACGCCTCCGGCAGCTTCTCGCATATCGACGGGCGCCGTCGAAGGGCGAATCCCTTGCGTCGCATGAAGCGACGGACCCAATAAATGGATTCCCTTGAAGTCTTTCTTTGATAGACCAGCTTCACGGGCGAGCTCGACGGCTTTTGATCGAATGAGCTCCGCATTCACTGGCAGGGATCTGGCACGGTACTCGCAGACGGAATCCGCTACTTTCTCTTCGAGTTCTGGGTGCACAGCTCGGCGACTGCGAAACTACGTCTACTCGCGTTACACACCGACAGTTTGGATTTTGGGTTGCGCCAGTACCTGACGCTTTTCTCGGACACTCCAAACTGCCGCCATGTTGCCATTCGCCTCCGCGAATTCAATAGCTTTTATTTTAAACGCGGCGGTGAACTGGCGCCGCGTCCCCATATTCATGGCTTGTCGCAGAGTAATGTCGACACTCGCTACGAACCACCTGTGCTACAAACACTAAATCAACAAGGAAAGAGAAATGTCCTCTGCCCAAAGAGGCAATGTCGATGCTGATGCCCAAAAAGGATGTGACACTTCTTGTTGCCAGACGATCACTTGGTTTATGCCAAGGGCCGGTTAGGTCAAGGGTTGACTTTTTATTGACATCTTTTGGAAAAAATCTCGGTCTATATTCCGCACTATACGGTATTTGTGATTTTTCGGTTTTCAAGGGCCACGTCCCCCTTAAAGGGTCCTGCAACACTTTTTGAGCATGGTCAGAAAACGCTGCCGATCGTTAGTAGAGGCTCCCGAGAACACGCGAGCCAAATGTTATAGTGAAGCATGCGGCCTGGAATTGACATTAAATTATCAAAGTTAGCTATACAAATTGCTTTGTCTTCCCTCAACAAATCACAGAATAAGCCCATTAGTCGCTCTTAAGCCCATCTATCAGCGATTGGCTGATTTGTAGAAGGTGCGCTCGGTTGTTACAGAGATCGCCGCGAGAGGCCGTCACTTGTCTACGGGTGCGCGCGCGTGATCGCACTAAGAAAGCCACGTATTTGAAGAGAAAAAAAAAAAGAGGTGCTCAAGGTCATGAGGCACGTACGACTGTTTTGTTTCTGTTTGCCCCTCCCACCCATCTTTGCTTAGCTTCCAGCGCTTTTGTCGGGACGAGAGAACAGAGAATGCGAATGCAGCGTGTGAAAAATCTTTGTAACTCCGCTAGTATTGGACGGATTCTTGAAATTTTGAAATTTTCGCGTGGTTGAAATTTGTGAGGCAATACGCTTTTTCACTGTATTAATTTCATGGTAACTCAAAAAGTGCTTCAGGGCCCCTTTAACTGTAATGACATTCGAGTACTGACCTGCACTCTGCACAACACGTGCGCAGCTTCTGTATGGTGGCGGGTGTTCCTCACCTTGTGCTTTGCGTACAGGACGTGGTGGCAGAGGCGGCAGAGGAGGTGGCATTGGTGGGGGGCGTGGTAGCCGCACGTTCCAGAACCGAGGGCTGGGCGGCCATGATGGCTTCCCCCAGTCCATGGACACATGGACCAACAGCACATCTACCGGAGGACAGCGACCATCTAGGGGAAGCCAGCAGCAACAGCAGCAGCAGGACACCATGGCAGTCGGTGAGCGGTTGTGCTTCCGATATCTTCAAAGTTATCTATTTTTTGTGTGAGAACAGCACATATAGAGGCATCCTTCTCTGCAGTTTGTTTACATTCTTCAGCTTCTTATTTTGCATGCAAGGTTTACATTTCATAGCTGTGCGACGCTGCACTTGTAACAAGGTGAGAGAACATTTTTTTTCTTTCTCTTTCTCTCTTTCATGGGTACACATATTGAGCAGAAGTTAAATTCCGAAAAATTAAGGAATGCTGCAAGTCCATCAAGAGACATTACTAAAATGTTCCTTGTGGTTTAGAGCGGCAGGTTTGTTGCATGTCACGCCACAGGTGGACATGTAAGGGATAAGGAAACCAACTTTCTTGTTTCTGGTTGAATCTTGATGGAAATCGGCACAGACGCTAAGAATGATCTCTCAGTGCTTCCACTAAAATTTCGAGGGGCTACAGCGAAAACTTGAAGAGACAAATTATTTCTTCATTGAACCTCGTAGAAGTAGAACATAAACTTTATTTGTCGAATCCAGACGATTAGTCAGGCGTTTTTCAGTGGGCCTGGGCACCCACCACGGATGTGGTTCCGAGACCTTGTCTCGAAGCGCCTTCCTCAGCACGCTGTACAGCCCAGAGTTGTGCTGTCAGGTTCGAGCTGAGCAGTGCGGCCTTCCAACGCGAGCGGAGGCTGGCGGTAGAAGAGTGGGGCGAATCGGCACTGTTCGAATGTTTATTAGGCCCTGACACTCCCACAGCATGTGACTAAGAGTGGCAACCTCGCCACATGACGTGCATCTGTTTTGTAGTGTATATGTCTGGATACATGGCGTGCATGAGTCTGGGGTTTCTGTATGAATCTGTTTGTAATTGTATGAAGTGTACCGCTTGCGTTCTGTTTAGCCTTTCGTGAGGGGATGGGTATATGCGTTTTTGTAACTGGTAATGTGTGATGTCGTGAAACCTGGTCATACAATCCTCCCATGCCAAGATGTCTGCAGTTCCCCGCGGGGGCTTGTCGTCCTCCGGCGATGCTCGGTGAGTGAGGCCTCGAGCAACGCGGTGAGCCGCTTCGTTGGGGGTGCTCAGTCCGGTGTGTGCCGGGATCCATAACTGGTGCCTTCGGTTATCGAAGCCGACCTCTCCTCGATGTATGGGATGTCGTTGGAGTATGTGAAACGCCTCTTGCGAGATGCGTCCGTTGGCAAAATTGCGAATTGCTGTTTGCGAATCGCTAATCACGTATGTGTCATTGGTCTGTGTGAGGGCCAGTGCTATAGCCGCTTCCTCTGCCGCTTCAGCGTGTGCCGTGTTCACAGTGAGGCTTGTGATGTATTTGCCGCGATGGCCGGTAACTACCACCACGAAACTATTTTTATTGGTATAACACGCGGCATCAGTGAAAACCGCTTTAGTGTTGGAGTAGCTTTGAGTAATGAGTTGTGCCCTGGCTTTACGCCTTCCCGTATGGTGTTGGGGGTGAATGTTGCGAGGCAATGGGGGTACGTATACTTGCTCGCGTACCGTTCTTGGAATTTCGACTTCGATGCCGTGCTGCGTATGGTACGTGATGCAGAGTTTTTCAAGTAGGTGTCGGCCTGGGCGGGTCTTGGATAGGCGCTCGAGCTGGGAAACTTGTTGCGCCTCCACGAGTTCCTCGAGGGTGTTATGCAATCCTAGCTCGAGGAGTTTGCTGGTGCTAACTCCGGGTGCCAGTCCCAACGCGAACTTGGACTTGTACGTCTTGCGTATCAGGGCGTTAAGGGGGGACGTGGCAAGTAAAACTAATTTTTTTATTAATGTACTGTTTGTGATGAAATTTGGTGTGTGTATGTGGATGATTGTGAGGATTCCAAATATGAAAACCGTTTTCAAATACCTCTTGTACTTTTTGAGTTACAAGCATAATTATACTAATTAATGCTCTTCACACTTAAAGAGATAATTATTGCTAAATGAAATTATTTTTTCATATTATTATGTTCCCAAAGCATCAACTTGTGCAAAGAAGCTATTAGTTGATTTTTCTAGTTCTTGTAACCATAAATAAAATTTCCAAAACATGGATGTTGTTTTGCGCACACATCGCAGTAATTATAAAATGTGTTCTAAAAATTTTAAATGATGAGTAAGAAGAGAGATAAAGCTTTATTGCACTGCTAAAGGCCTCCTGAGCCTAGTGCAAAAAACGGAACGACTCTATCAGTCTTTGTTAGAAAATGACTGATGTTCTAGCGAAGGCACATAGGCGAAAATCAAGAGTTGAGAAAACTGACTTTGAAAGTTCACTCTTGTTTGGAAGTTCACAACATGCCTAAAACACTCAGAATCCTCCTGGGCAGTAATCCTGAGATGCTGTGGCCTTGGCCTCCGTAGAGCGCAACCCAGTTTTGCGCTTCTTTGTCGTGGAACAATGCGCCTTTTGAGCCCTCTTTACCCTTTTGGCATCCTTTTCGGCTGCTCGCCGCAAAGAGCAGTCTCCTGGATTGAAGCCCAGTTGAGCAGTGATCTCTTGCAGCGCACTCTTGCAGCCACCATTGAAACGGCAGACTGCATCTGCAACTGCACTTTCCACACTTCGAAGGGACGCGAACTGGCTCTTGGACTGGAGTGACCAAATGAGGCTGTTCATACTCTCCACAGCGTTCTGGGTTTTTCCCTGCGCACACCTTTCAAGGAGCTCTTTGTTCGAGAGGCGCTTGTAGATTGGCAGCAGTGCCACTCGCACGTGAGGGGGCAGTTTATGTTTGTGAGGCGGCAGCGGCTCTCCCTTGGCCAATGCCCGATTGTGCGGGCACCAGGAGTCAGTCCCACTTGGGCACAGGTCGTGGTGTGGATCCTGGTCTGTGGATGTTACATGGTAATAAGTGGCCATGATGGCCCTCTCCATGCCAGGAACATCGTTGGGGTGGCTCTTAATGGCCCAGCCATAATAATTCGTCAACTTCTTTATCAGGCCCTGCGTCAGCCGGCCTTTGCCACCCATGCTCAGTCCTCGGCCTTTGGATTTGTGCTCATCAAGAAGGTTGCGCAAGGAAGTGTCCATTCTTTTTTTCACATGGTTCACACACTCCTGTTTCTTAATCACCATGTAGCCATACACCTTGTCTTGCGTGAGGGCAAGGTACGTACGGCTGTCACCGTCGCAGAGCACATTGATGTATCGAAGCTTGTACTTGGTAAACGATCTTTCAAACATGATCCTAGCTGCTTCTACTTCCATTTGGCCTGCATTAGCATCGGTGTTCTTTTGGCACTGTGGCTTGTGTTTCTCAAGCCACTCCTCATAGTTGTCGTCACCAGGCTTGGGGCCAACAGCACAGCCTTGGCAGTAGTTGGACAGGACACAGTGGTCCAAGACCAAGCCTGTGTACAGCTCGATTACACAGCCCACGCCAATATGACTTCTGTGCCCCCTCGTCATCCACGTGCCGTCGTAAATGACGTCAATGTTGCCTGGCACTCCTCCTAGGTCCTTGTAGATGTCATGCACCTTCTGTGCACTTTCTGCTTCAATGCGGGTGGCAGCTGATGTGGTGGCAGGGTGGCTGTACTTCCTTTGCAGTCTCTGGTAGGACTTGTGGTGCAGTGCTCGATGCGAAATGTCCATCGCAGAAAAAATGTCATTTATGGCAGATTGTTTTCTGCCAACTGACTGCACAGCCCTCAAAGCACGCACGTTTACCTCAAAGGGGTTCGTTTTTTGTTGCCCGGAGCACCTCCGGGACGACAACGCACTGTTTACTATGCCACAATTGTCACAAAAAAGTCCCATCCTCGCCGCGAGTCCAAGGCAGTGCGTAGTCTCGAGGCGTATCGACCCTTCGTCGCACTTGTTGCACTTTACTGACGAAAGCAGACCGTTCAGCATCTTCTTATTTACAATGAAGAATGTGGAGTCCTTACCGCCGTCATTTTCGTCGCAGCCTTCGTTCAGAAGCTCGAGCTTCCGCTTTGAAGCGGACTTCGATGCTACGGCATCCAAACATCCCGCCTTGTCTGCGCCCGCTGCGCGATTTCTTCACTGCTCGGAATCTGGGCCGAAACTCGCGATAGAATGTTCGACGCGCGCACGCCCGGAGTTGCAACGGCTGCCGACGCGGTGCCACCGCAATCGGGTTCGCGAGAGCGTCCGTCACGGTCGACGGCATCCGGCGGTCTGACATACGACGATGTGGCACCTTCCACACTCTCGGCCTCACAACAATCAGCGAAGGGTCTGAGTAGAGGCTCCGTGACGCTTGAAGAGCATGCTCCGTCCGGAACTGCGACTGGGACGGCAGCCGCAGTCGTCTGCCCTTTGTTCCAAGCTTTCCGACGCTTGCCGTACTTGTGGACGCTCCGGAACTTTTTTTGCGACAACATAGCACCGCAGTATGAGCAAGCACTCAGAAGAGACCACCGATGTAAACAAAGCTTGGTAAAAAAAGCACGCGAACTATCACAAAAACAGCAAACTGGCAAAAAACGAAGCGCACGCCGGATGATTCTCGACACGGCGGCCGCAGATGCGCTCGCGCTTTCAAGGTTGCCAAGGTGCGCGGCGCAGCTTTGACCAGTAAGAGGTCGCGCCTGCTACCACGTGACCCGCGCAGCCAATTGCCGTTCTTCGTTTTCGTTTTTTTACTTGCTCTTCGCGCTTTTATTTTCACTCGGCGAAATACGAGACCGCGACCATCGGGAAGCCGGCTTTCTCCTCTTTCCAAAGCTACCAAAATGGCGGCCCACAGTCAACAACTTGGCGCGTTTGTGCGGCGTGAACAACACCGTTTCAGGGGCTTTTTTTTCGCACTTTTCGGCGACTGGCCTCGGCAAAAACACTATTTGCGGGATTTGCAGCGCACGTTTCGCTGTAATATTTTAGAACAAGGAAGTTGAAGGTCTGAAGATTACGAAAAAAAATAAATCAGAAAATCGCATATTTTGACCAAAATCGGCACTTTACTTGCCGCGCCCCCCCTTAAGCTTGTCTTTTTCCGCAACTGTCCATTTGTGAAACGGTGCCGTGTACG